CCACCCTTTCCATTCTAAACCTACACTTAGATGCTTTAGCCACCAATGATTGTTCCTCATCTTCTCAAAAACTTGCCTTAAATGGCTTATGTGAGCTTCTATTGATGCGCTGTAAACTAAAATATCATCAAAGAACACCAGAACACATTGTCTGAGTAATGGCCTGAAAACCTGGTTCATGAAATTTGGAAATGTGGCTGCAGCATTACTCAACCCAAAAGGCATGACTAAAAACTCATAATATCCAGAATGAGTTTTAAAGGCAGCTTTTGAGATGTCTTCCCCAGCCATTCTTATTTGATGTTATCCTGATCTTAAATCAATCTTGCTGAATACCTTCACCCCAGCCAGCTCATCAATAAGCCCATCCACGATTGGAATGGAGAATTTATCTTTAATAGTCTGTTTATTTAATTCCCTATAGTCCACACATAATCTCCAATTACCATCCTTCTTGCCCATTAAAACCATAGAAAATGCAAAGGGGCTACAACTGGGTTGGATTATACCTCTATCCAACATTTCTGCAATTAGCTTCTCAATAACATCCTTCTGTTTGAGGGCATACTTGTATGTTCTAATACTTATGGGTATTAGCTTCTTCCATCAGTGGTATTTTGTGGTCAAACCAACACCTAGTAGGTGGTAATTCAGTAGGTTCTCTGAAATATCTTCACATTGTAATAGTAACTCAGCAAAAAATGGAGGAGTGCCTTCTTTTGATGTAGTTAAGCACTTCCATTCTGTGAGGACTTCCTGGGTGGGTAAGATTTGCAACAGCAAAGATGACCAGCCTCTATCATAGCCTTAGGCACTTGTGATCCCTCCAAAATTTTAATTATAGTGCCTCTGTCATAGCCTTAGGCACTTCTTTCATTTTTTGGAGTGTAGGTGGCATCTCTATCCATATCAGCATACCATGATTTTTTTAATGAATATATAACTTTTTAATCACATTATAATATGACTTACAGGATTATTTCTAACTAACTAAGATGGATACAATGCATTTAAAGAGTACCTAAGATTTTCCATCTAGATGCCCATTTGGAAAATGCCCATTTGTTTTCATTAAAATCCATATACTTTTTTTTGCTTTATTTTAGTCCATATATCTTAAAATATACTCCGGAGTAAGTCCAAAAATTTTTGAATTTTGAAAAAGCTACAAGAATGTCATAGAGCCAATGAATTTTCCATTCTGAGTAATTTCTAATTTTCCATTTCTCCATTTGTACGATATCAATGAAATAATTGAAAATAGACAAATAATGAGTCAATCGTTCCTTTATAAAATGTAAATACATAAATAATGAGTCAATCAGAGTAGAAAATATTTTTCAAAAAGAAAATAGAGTAGAAAATAGATAAAGTGTAAATTTTTTTAGACAAATAAAAAAAGAATTACTCTAAGTAGTTCTTTTAGAAAAGGAGAATACGAAACACAGGAAAATAGAATTTAAGTTTTTCTGGAAAATATTTTTCCTCAAGCAAACACACCATAAGGTATATAACATTTTTGTATAATGTTATAAAGACTATCAAAAAGATCTAAAACTAATACTTTCTACTCGACTTATACTTTAGCCCACTAAATGATAACATTGGTGAAATTATTAAGAGCGTGGAATCAACCATTTCGTTTCAATGTGTTTCCACAATGATATGCCTCCAATCTTGAGGAGAGAATCTCATTTATTAATTGATAGTTTTATTATAAATGTTGTGAAAAAGTATAGGATTAGAAAAATGTATTCTAATGAAAGTGATTATCTCTTTTCCAAAATTAAATTTATTATATAATGTTAAAATTATAAAGAATGTTAGTGTAAACATAGTATATCTTGGTAACATTTTTTATATCAATTGTTAACCACTCCTTGCGTCCCGTTTTAAATCGCATATTTTGACTTTTGGGCATATTTATGGAAAAGAAAAAATAGAATTAATTTTTCAAAATTGTCATTACTTTTTAGAAGAAGTGACTATGAATTAGAAGATAAGGTGAAGAAGGGTGACTTATTTTAGGGGTAGTTTAGGTATTTTATTTTTAAAAGTTTACGATAACAACTAATAGGCAACTTATTTTGGAACGGAGAAAAAAGGCAAATAGGCAATTTAAATTGGGACAGAGGGAGTATAATTTAACTAAAAATATCATTTAATAATAGATAACTATAAATGTTATATTCTTCAATTTAAATCATAAATAATATACGGAATATAAACCATAAATTGTATAGCAATAAAATAAAATCATAAAATCAATATATTCGAAGTATTAAAATATGTATTGAAATGTTAACACATGTCATTCTTTCAAAGATTGAAGTAAAAAAATTATATATAAAAGATAAAGTATTATAACCTTCTAAATCAACAAATCAGTGTGAAGTCAATGAGTAAATGTGTTCTTATTCTATTTCTTTATATCCTTTTATAGATTGTAAATTATTAGAACCCACTTGTGTAAAAATGGTAACTCACACAGCTATAATTTAGTTTGATTAGTTTAAATTTTTAAAATGATAATTTATAATATTTTTAATATAATTAATGGTATTAAACACAATTTTTTAGTGTTAGTATTTTTAAATAATTTGAACCCTTAAAAATTTATTCAAAAGTATGCGTCTATACGATTCATTTGAAATAAGGTTTTTTTTCCTTTCATTTTTTTGCGTAAGATTGACCCGATTATACAAAAATGTTATACAAAAATGTTATATACCTTATAGTTTTCCTTTCATTATACAAAAATGTTATATACCTTATGGTGTGTTTGCTTGAGGAAAAATATTTTCCAGAAAAACTTAGAATTTAAAATTTAAAATTTAAAATTTAAAATTTAAAATTTAAAATTTAAAATTTAAAATTTAAAATTTAAAATTTAAAATTTAAAATTTAAAATTTAAAATTTAAAATTTAAAATTTAAAATTTAAAATTTAAAATTTAAAATTTAAAATTTAAAATTTAAAATTTAAAATTTAAAATTTAAAATTTTAATTAAAATTTAAAAT